GAGGCAAAGAACCTCACCTCCCCACTGGTGCAAAGGCCTATCCGCAAGTATGGCTGTATGCTGGAGCGGTATTAAGTGATGGGTATGATCCAATTGCAGTGGTACCAACCTAAGACAGGAGGCTGATGCCTAGAGGTCAGCTCATCCAATGAAGGGTAAGGACCATATGTTGTATTGGACAACCTAACAGGCACGGTCCCTAAGCCACATTGCTGTTGTTTAATTAAACAGAAGGGGAGAGATGCTGAGAGCCACAGCTGAGTTGGAATGGCCCCTGGCATTTTGCCAATAATATTGATTGACAGGCGAGGCATTACTATCTGCCTGGGCCGCTACTTTGCAGTTCCCACGCTACTTTGGAGTTCTCCTGGGGATTCCCTGGGATTCTTGGAGAGTTCCCATTGGTTGGGGAATGCAGGAGGAGGGATTTCCGGCTGCTGGTTCCTGGAGGAGCCGCGTGGCGTTCGGGAGCATGTGTGGAGTGTGCTGGTGGAGTTCAGAAATAAAGTTTGTTTCTGCTTCAGTGGCTCGTGATTTGTGCCCAGCCAGACTGCAGCAGTATTAGTTACTTCTTTTTCTTTATTGATATCCTTCTGTCCTCCAGCACTAAAGTAAAAATATTTCTGCTCCTTTCTTAGATCTCAAATTCCTGGAAGAGTGCACTCTCAAAGCATAAATAAAGTTATGCTAGTCAGTTTTTCACCAATGTGCCCAAAATACCTGATAAGAATATTTTGGGTGAGGAAAGTTTATTTGGGCTCATTTTGTGCTCATGGTTGCAGAGGTCTCAGTCCATGGTCAGATGACTCCATTGTCTCAAGTCTGAGATGAGGCAGAACAACATGATAGAAGGGCACTTCAGAGGAAATGTTCTCACCCTAAAGAAAGCCAGGAATGGAGAGCGAAGTGCCAGACCCCAGGCAGGGCTGGGGAGAGGAGAAAGGGGAAACAAGGGAGAAAGTCACACGGGGGAAGAAGGCTCAAGGCCCAGGTCCACTGCAAGGAGTCAGGATTCAGGCAGCAAAGGAGGCTAGGGGTAGGGCTGTGTTTCCCATAGGGAGCTTTCAGGGGGCAGAATCCAGCAAATTCCACGCCTCTGCCATAGGTGAGTAAGATCCTCAGAGAGGGACCGGGACCCAAGGAGGGCCAAAGTATGGCACTGTGTGGGTAAACCCTATGTGCAGAAGTGGGGGCGGGGGTGGCTGGGTGAGAGGGGAGCCAGAACCCACTGGAGGAGCCCAGGCTAGGGAGAATCAGAGGGAACAGAGGGTCCCAGCAGCACCAGGTTACCACAGCGCAAGGAGAAGAGAGGGGAAGCACAGAAGTGGCACAACTGAGGGGCCTGGAATCAAGGGACAGGGACACAGACAGAGTCCTGGAGAAGGGCAGCCAGGGGCTCAAGCAAGGAGCCAGGTCCAGGAATGGAGAGCCAAGGGCCAGGGCCCTGGAAGGCCTGGGGAGGCAGGGAGAGGAGAGAGGGGAGCGAGTCACTCAGGGAGAAGCAGGCTCAAGGTCCAGATCCACTGAAGGGTATCCAGGGTTGGGGAGGAGGGCCCAAGCTGAGGGAGGCCTAAGGGCCCAGGCAAGGGGCAGGGCTACATTTTCCCCGAGGGAGCCAGAAGGGCCAAGAGGCCAGTCCACTCCCCTGGCTTGAGTGAGTATCCTGGGAAAGGGATGAGGAAAGGGGGCCTGAAAGGGACAGGGACAACAGAAGGGCCAAAGAGGTCACAGCGGGAAGGGCCGGAGGATGGGTGCCAGTGGGGTGAGGGCCAAGACCCCAATAAAGAGCCCAGGCGAGGGACCTAGAGGAGGGCCCATGCCATGAGAGAGCAGAAGAGGCTGGGCCAGGCAGGGGGGCAGCACTAGTGGTCTGCAGTGCAGTGAAATCAAGGGGAACAGGGAAGCGGCCCAAGCAAGGGACCGGCAGTCAATGCCCAGGGATTCCCTCGGCAACAAGGATCACCAGAGGCTCAAATGAGGAAACAGGCCAAGGAATGGAGAACCAAGGGCTGGTGCTGGGGCAAGGGGCTCAGGACAGTGGACACATGTAGGGCATGATGTAACATGTGGGACAGGTTGCATCAGATAAGAGGAAACCTAACTTGCTGGCTGCTACCCACTTCCCAGTCTTGGGGCCACACATGGCTAGGATGGCACCTGGCGATCAGCCAGAAGGCATTACCATAGGTTGTGATGAAAAATCGGACCACCTCTAGGATAGGCTCAGAACCCTTCTGTCCTGGTGGACAGCTCGTGTCACCCATTACTGCCTGTAGGATGAGTCTACATGTGAACTCTCCCCACCCTGCTGACCTTTATCCTGATTGGCTCCTATATATTAGCTTTGTGTGTGTTTTCTCAATAAACGAGCTCCTGCTTTGATTGGTCTCACTGATGCGTCTGATTGTCCTCCAGCGAGGGAGGGCTGAATGCGGGCGGTCAGTCGGCCCTCTCCTTTCTTGGCTTGTCCTGGTCGAGGCGTGCTCTCCCCATCTCTCCCGCAGGTCAGGAGGGAATGAGGGCTAAAACCATGGAGGGAATCTGGGGATCTGGTAGGGGAGAAGCAGGATCCAGGCCCAGGGTCTCTGCCAGGTGTCAGGGTTCCGGGTGCAGTACCAAGGACCCAGAGAGAACAAGGGGCTAAGGCAGGGCTCTATTTCCCATAAGGCACCCTTTCCCCAATGAGAATCCAGAACCAATAACCAGGCAAATGGGACCTGGAAAGAGAAGGGGGGCCAGGAAGAGGGTGAAAGGAGGGCCAAGTTGGGTTAGGGTTGGGATCAGGGATCCAGCAGGAGGGAGGCATACTTGAGTGCCAGTGCCACTGCCAGGTGTCAGGGTTCTGGGTGCAGGACTAAGGGCCCAGGGAGAGCAAGGTGCCCAGGTGAAGGAGTAGGGCTGTGTTTCCCATATGGCACCCTGGCTCAAATGAAAATCAAGTGCCAGGGGCAGTGCCAAGCAGACCTGCCATGGTTTAAGTGCCAGGAGGACAACCATGGGAGGTCATGGCTCGGAATTTCGAAGGGTGCAGAGAGGGACAAGAACCAGGACTGAAGTACTAGCCCAGGCAAGGGACTCACTCGACAAAAAGAGGATTAGGAACCCAAGGAGCAGGAGGCCTGAGCTCCAGGGGAAAGTGCTAGGGGAAGGAGAGAAAGGAGAGTTGGTACTGCATCTGGAACCCTGCTACAATGAGCAGACAGATGTCAGCAAAATGGCGAGGAGGGGAGTGATCAAGGGGGCTCAAGCAAAGGGCTCCCTGAGACACCATGAGACACCAATGACACCATGAGACACCAGACTCCAAGAGACACCATGCGAAGCCAGGCAACACCAGGAATGCATTCAGGGGCTCAGGTGAGTGGCCAGGCCCAGAGATTGGAGCATGAAGGGTCAGGGTTAGGAGGGCTGGGTTGGGGTAGGGGCAGCATGCAAGGCTAGAGGAAAGGGAAAGGAAGGGAGGGGGTCATTCAGGCAAAAGTCAGCACAAGGCCAACGTCCACTGCCAGATCTCAGGGCTTGGGTGGCGAAGGAGGCCCATGAGAGGGGCAGGGCTGTGTTTCCCCTAGGGAGCCTTCAGGGTGCAGAGGCCAGCCAATTCCACTCCTCTGCCCCAGGTGAGTAGAACCTCAGAGAGAGGCCAGGACGAAAGGAGGGCACTATGAGAGGATACCTTCAGGTCAGAATTGGGGGGGGTAGTTGGTGGGGAGCCAGAACCCATTTGAGAACCCCTTATTGGGGACCGCAAATCAAGTCAAGATGGTGCCTGGCAGTTTGCCAGGAGGAGTGGTTTGTGAGGCAATGCAGCCGAGCCATTTAGATGGTGGGGATTCCTTATTGGCTGATTGCTGTATCTAGATGATGCTAATTGAGTCAAGCTGTGTGTAATCAGTTAGGTATATATACCTTGGCTTTCCCGCAATAAAGCATCTCCTGGTACCTTGGGTGCCAACTACCTTGAGTTCCCGCTCAGTTCCCACTGCGTTCTTTTGCAATAAACCAGTTCCTGCTTCAACTTTCAAGTTGCTTGTCACCTCCCGGTTATTTTGCTCAGCTAGACTGCGGCAACCCCTGGCTAGGGAGAAGCAGGGGGAGGGGAGGGTCCAGGCAGTACCAGGATATCACAGTACTGTTGTAGGGATAAACGAGGCAAGGCATAGAAGATAGCAGGAAACAGTTTTATTTGGCTGTAGCCAGGCTCAGAGGGCACAGCTTTTGCTGTAATCAATTAATCTCCTGAACCCCAAGTTCAGGGAGTTTCAGAGTTTTATATACAGCATGTAAAGGGAGGGGCTCAGAAGTTCACAGTCTGCAAAAATTCACATAAAAACAGCTTTCTCTTTTCCTGTTTTGGGGACATTAACCCTTCAAGGACAATACCTGAGAAGGGGAGAGCTTCTTCTCCACTTTCTTTCCTCCCCCTGCCAGTTGTTAGCATGGAGCGCAGTTACTAACTTATCTTAAAAATTTAGACATCTCTGTGAATCCACAGCTCAAGGCCAGATCTTGTTTGCACATTTCTGCAAACTACTATGCTGGATATGTTTGTGAAAAACTAGTAAGGGGGAGCCAAGCACCTGGAGTGATGGCATATTCCTGGCCAGTGGCCAACTAAAACAGAGCAATATGGAAATAGGAAGTTTATCTACATTTAACTCTTTTGCAGTGACTCTTTTGCTGACACTTCTAAAATCAGACATGGTGAAGATTTCTGGAGAAGCCCAGTTAACACTTTTCTGTGGAGGTAGGGGGTGCCACATCAATTCCCCCTTTAATGATGCTCCCCATAATTTAATCCTTTAAATTTAAGAGCATCATTACCATTACCTTAGCTTAAAGCCTTATACAATGTCAAAACCTTAGTTGTTGTCATCCTTTCAATAGCAGCTTCTGTAGTGGACTCAGTAGTTTTTATGCACAGTGTAGCCAAATATAAGAGCAATAAACAGGTTAACAACAGAATATCCACTATACCACTTAAGCTTTTAAATCTACCAAGGGTTGACAGCCATCTCTCAAAAGCATGTTTGGGACCCAAACTTTAATGCCCTTCTAGGTATGAACTAGCACATGTACTAGTTCTTATGTCTTGTTGGCTATATTCTTAACTGTTTGTCTATTGTCATCCATTTGGATGCAACAAACTGAGCTGTTGAACTCTCCACATATTTATCTTTCCTCAGCCATTAGGTAATCTAATGCCAAGTAGTTTGGATATTTAGCCACTGGCATCTGGTTTATTGTGTGGCTAGGAGGTCAAAGGCTCTGGCAGTCTGATTAATAATAATTTCTAGTACAGATTGTTAGTGAATAATTCTGCTTAACATGTAAATAGGGGTTGTATAACTCCAACTGCCATTTTGTGCCCAGGTAGTGGAACAATAAGTGACAATAATCCTCTGGGTTGGCCAGTTATCTTCACCCCAAGATTGGTGACCTCCTAAATAAAGTTTCTTTCCAGTGAACCTCTTTTGTCTTTCCAAACAGTCATCCATCTATAGCATTCCTCTGGCAGGACAGGACCTAAATATATGTTTTACCACCTCTTAGTTATAGTGGATTGTCGTGACATATGGTTCACATGATCTCCATGGTTGAAATAGGAGTAGGACAGAATTCCTTAAGGTTATCAAAGGAAACCAAACTAAATAATAGTCTAAAATTTTAGTTAGGATAGGTTCAGCATCATTAATTAACAAAGCCAAACTAGTAACACCAAACAAATCCTAGAAAATTTATCTAAGCAAGAAAAAAAAGGATAAATGAAATTTTTTATTTGTTATCCCACCAGTAGCAAAAACCAAACAAAGAATTAGGTATATATCTAAAAGCAAGGGGTTGTGATGCATTATATTATAAGAAGTATATTAGAGGTTGAAATAGTTCATTAGTCCTGGTGGGAAGTTTATCTTTCACAGAGGATTGATCTGCAAGTCTCTCCAGTATAGCTGAAACAAGGCTGTAGTCTCCTCAAGCTTCGGCCATGCGTAGACCAGTCAGCTTCTGGAGTGACTGGAGCAGGGCTGTTGTCCTTCTGATCCTCAAGCTTCTATGGTGCTTTTTTTTCTTCTGGATGATCAGCTTCAAGGACGTAGCAGCATCTAGAGTGCACTCCCAGTCCGCAGCTGCAGGCTTGAGTCTGATGTAGTACATCCAGGGACCTATTTCTCCAAACTTTGCTGTAGTTGGGGTGGACAAAATAATAGTGAAAGGGCCCTTACAAAAAGGTTTAGGTGTTTGAATATTCCATTGTTTGACCCAGACTCAATCTTCATGCTTAAAGAAATGTGTGCCTGGGTCAACTTAGTGGCAATCTTTCTCTAACCCATTGGTCGAGAACCTGTAAAGTTTTCCCTAAGGCCTGAAGCTGTTGTCTAAGGGTTAACTCTCCTATCTTTCTTAAGTCTCCCAAAGATCCCCTAATAAGAGGTGGGCCTGAAGTATGTTATCCTATAAGGAGAGAATGCAGTCCTTCTAGTGGGAGTGGGTTTAATCCCCAACAATGTAATAGGGAGAAGTTCATCACATATAAGTAAGTTTCTGAAACAGCTTATCCAATTAAGATATAAAGTCCTGCATATCCTTTAAACTATACCAGAATTCTGAAGGCTATAGACAGTATGTAATTTCCATCTAATCTTTAAACTCTTGGTCAGTAATCATATCACCTGCACAAAAGCTAGCCCATTGTCTAAGCCAACACTAATTTGGAAGGGAAGGAAGGGGTGGTGTGAGGAAAGGAAAGAGCCTGCAACACGCGGTGCCCAGGAGGGGCACCAAGGTGAGCCCGGTAGGGGGCCAAAGAAAGGGGCCCCCAGGTCCAACCCAACACAGAGCGACCACACCCAACGCCACAAGACAACACAACCAGGATGCTCAGGGGCCAAACCTAGGAGCAGGCCCCAGGCCTGGAGATTAAAGCTCTGGGGTTAAGGAGGGCTGGCTTGGGTAAGGGGCAACACAAGGCAAGAGGACAGGGGAGGGAAGGGAGGGAATTGCAAAAGGCCAAGATCCCTTAAAAGCCCATGTCCACTGCCAGGTGTCAGGCTTCAGGCAGCCGAGGGGGCCGAGATGAGGGGCAGGGCTCTGTATCCCATAGGGAGCCTTCAGGGCACAGAGGCCAGCCAATTGCACGCCTCTACAATCCAGGGGAGTAGATCCTCAAGGGAGGGACCAGACTGTGACCCAAGCAGGGACAAAGGAGGGCCTTGTGTGGGGAAAGGGGGCCAGCGCCAGCATGAAGCTGGGTGGCTGGGTGGGAGGGGACCCATTGGAGGAGCCCAGGCTGGGGAGATTCAGGGGGAACGGAGGGTCCGGGCAGTGTCAGGATACTACAGCACCAGGGCAACAGAGGGGAGGCCCAAGAGGGGGCACCAGCAAGGGGCCTGAAATCCAGAGACAGGGACAGGGACAGGGCCTGGAGATGAGCGGTCCTGGGCTCCAGCAAGGAGCCAGGCCCAGGCCTGGAGAGCCATGCACCAGGGCCCCAATCAGACCCAGGGGAGGGGAGGGAGGGAGTGGAGAGAGGGGAGTGGGTGGAGCAGGGGAAGGAAGGCTCAAGGTCCAGGTCCACTGAGGCGAGTATGGGGTCAGAAGGCATGGCCTCCACTGAGGGAGGCCAAAGGGCCCAGGCAAGGGGCCCGCAGCCAAAGCACAGGTCCGCGCTGAGCAACAAGGGCCACCAGAGGCTCAAGTGAGGAGCAGGGCCCTGCAGGGATTGGAGAGCCAATGGCTGGCTTTGGGGCAAGGGGCTCAAGACAATGGACAGGGCTGGGGAGAGAAGGCAGGGGATGCAGCAGGGCAAGGCGGAGGCAGTATCCAGGACCAAGAGTCTTGGTTACCGGTGGGTACAGAACCAAGGGCCCAGGGAGACCAAGGAGCCCAGGCGACGGGCATGGCTCTGTTTCCCAGGAGGCTCACTGGCCCAGATGAGAATCCTGGGCCAGGCACCTGGCAAAGGGGGCCTGAATAAAAAACGGAGGCAAGAGGGAGGAGACCACAGGGCTAAGCCACAAAGTGGGAGGGTGGCAGCCCGGTAGGTGCGGCTAGGGGCAAGAGCAGGAACCCAAACAAGGAGCCCAGGCTACAAAGCCATGCAACCTAGGACAAGCAAAAGGGAGAGAGGCCAGGGGAAAGAGAGAAGGAAAGGAGGGGCGGCACTAAGAGAAGGAAAGACTGGGAAGGGGTGGGGTGGGGGGGTGAGAGGGCAGCAGCAGTAGGTTCAAGGGCAACCCAGAGAAGCCCTCAGGGTAGGAGGCCAAGCGAGGGGCACCCAACCCAACAACTTACAGCAATACCACCAGATGCCACTAAACCCCACACAACAAAAAGACAAACACACACTAGGAGTCCCACTCAGCAGCCAGGCCCAGGAGTGGAGCTTACAACTCCAGGGTACCTGAGGGCTGCCATGCGTTAGGGGCAGTATGCAAGGCCAGAGGGAAGGGGAGGAAAGGGAGGGGGTCAGGCAGGCCAAGCTCAGCACAGCGCCCAGGTCCAGTGCCAGGGGTCAGGGTTCCTGCAGCCAAGGGGGCCCAGGCTAAGGGCAGGGCTGTGTTTCCCCTAGGGAGCCTTCAGGGCACAGAGGCCAGCTGA